GGGCTTGTGTTTGGGGGGGGGGCTGAGGGCTGAGGCAGGAGTGCCCCCCACCCCGGCTCAGACTGGAAGCGCTCCCCTCCCCGGGACCAGCTGAGAATGACAACGATCAAGGTGTGGAAAGTGATTTTAGTTTCAGGAAAAGAGCACCCCACACGCACTTCCTGGGTGCTGGGGGTGCACCCTGGGGCACTGCACAAATCACTGGGTCTCCACAGGGAGCGCGCAGGGGCCACAGCCCTTTCTTTGCCGCACCTCTGGGGGCCGGGAAGTGCAAGGTGCCGGCAGATGCGCTGTCTGGTGAGGGCCCTTCCTGGCTCCTCGGGGGCCGGCTTCCCACTGGAACCGCACAGGGCAGCACGGGCTGGGAGTTCTCTGGGGTCTCTCCGACCCCAGTCATGAGGGCTCTGGGCTCATAATCACCCCCAACGCGGCCTCCTGGGGACTGGAACATGTGGGACTGTTTTTTTTTTTTTTTTTAAGGTTTATTTATTTATTTGAAAGGCAGAGTTACACAGAGAAGGGGAGAGAGAGAGAGAGAGAGAGAGAGAGAGAGAGAGAGAGGTCTTCTACTTGCTGGTTCACTCCCTAATTGGCCGCAACAACCAGAGCTGCGCCTATCCGAAGCCAGGAGCCAGGAGCTTCCTCTGTGTCTTCCCACACATGTGTAGAGGCCCAAGGGCTTGAGCCATCCTCTACTGCTTTCCCAGGTCATAGCAGAGAGCTGGATGATCAGAAGTGGAGCAGCTGGGACTCGAAATGGCACCCATATGGGATGCTGGCACTGTAGGCGGCATCTTTACCCACTACCCCACAGTGCCAACCCCTGGATTTTTTTTAAGATCTTTATTTATTTGAAAGTCAGAGTAACAGAGGAAGAACTTCCATTAGCTGGTTCACTCCCAGTGGCCACAACAGCCAGGGCTGGGCCAGGCTGAGCCAGCAGCCTGAAACTCCATCCAGGTCTCCCATGTGGGTGTAGGGGCCCAAGCACTTGTACCGTCTTCCACTGCCTTCCAAGGTGCATTATTAGGGAGCTGGATCGGAAGTGGAGCAGCTGGGACTCGAACCAGCACTCCCAAATGGGATGTTGGTGTTGCAAACAGCAGCTTAACCTGCTTCACTGGGCCCCAGTACATATGAATTTGGGGCATGGGGGGGTCACAGGGATTTAGTCCGTGGCACTGACCATGGTATTTGAAGGACTTGCCCCAGGCCAGGAGGTAAAGAAGCCGTGCAGCCTGGGTGGCAGGCACCAGCACCCACAAGCCTGACCCCTGGGTGCTGTTCTCTCTCCTGCTGCCTCTCACTCACAGATGAACAGGCGAGGGGACTGACTTGGCGGGGAGAAAGCGGGGCCTCTGGGGTCAGCCTAGGCCGCTGGAGAGGGGCTGAGAGCTCGAGCAGCTCCTGGGCACCTGCCATCCCACCGGGGGCCCACGCAGGCCCACAGCGGCAGAAAACAGTGCAATTGCCACTCTGATGCCATCTCACTAAAGGAAAGCCAGTGAAACCTGCAGGATCCCAAAAGATCCCAGCAGGATCCCCTCTCTATCCGCTGTGTTCTCTCTCCCCCTAGGGAGATGCACGAAGTCAGATCAGATGCTCCAGAACGCACCCAAGAAGAAACACAGAAAAACAAATCAGAAAAATCGTCTCAAAACCTCGTCTGCAATTTGGTGCGCTCCCACGTCCGCCTCGCTGCCTTGCGTAGGCAGCCGGAGCGAGCGGGAGGCCGGCAGATCCGGCGCCTGGTCCTGGCCGGCTGCGTGACCTTGGCCAAGTCCCCGACCCTCCGTGGACCTCAGGCCTCCCCACCTGCGCAATGAGCGTCTGGACACGGTGACCTCCGAGGAGGCCCCTCACAGCGCTGCCCTTCTGTCTGTGTGCTTGGCAGAGGGGCACTAGCAGGCCGCCCCTCAGCAGGGGCCGCATGGCTGACAGCTCCCAGCACGGCGCCTCCGGGAGGGGGGGGGCAGGCTGCAGTCTCCATCGCAGGCTCAGCGTTCCCAGGCCTGCCTGCTTCCCGGGCCCATATGGTGCCCCCTGCCAGCCGGACACCACCAGCCGCTCTGAGCAGCCAGGCCTCGTGACTGCTTTGCTCCAGGCTCCAGAATGTTCTTTCCACTGTCCCAGGACCCAGCTAGCTCAGGAGAGCTGGGGGGCTCAGCTCTGAGGACCCAGCAACCCATTACCACCGTCCTTTGTGGGGAAAAGCTAGAGAGAGGGAGAGATGGAGGGAGGGAGAGATGGAGAGAGGGAGAGATGGAGGGAGGGAGAGATGGGGGCGGGGAAGGATTGAGGGAGGGAGAGGTGGAGGGAGGGAGAGATGGGGGCGGGGGAGGATTGAGGGAGGGAGAGATGGGGGCGGGGAAGGATTGAGGGAGGGAGAGGTGGAGGGAGGGAGAGATGGGGGCGGGGGAGGATTGAGGGAGGGAGAGATGGGGCAGGGAAGGATTGAGGGAGGGAGAGATGGGGGCGGGGAAGGATTGAGGGGCACTGAATGAGTTGCAGCCCCCTTCGGCGCCTCACCGAGCTGGTGGGATTCAGAAATGAGTCAGGAACCCTTGCTGCCCTTCAAAGACACAAGTGTCGGCGCTGGCGTTGTGACGCAGTGGTAAAGCTGCCAGTTCGAGTCCCGGCTGCTCTGCTTCTGATCCAGCTCCCTGCTAATGCAGCCAGGCAAGCTGTGTATGATAGTCCAAGTCCCTGGGCCCCTGCACCCATGTGTGAGATACGGAAGAAGCTTCTGGCTCCTGGCTTCAGACCAGCCCAGCTCTAGCTGTTGTGGCCATTTAGGGAGTGACCCAGCAGATGGAAGACCTCTCTCTCCTTCTTTGTTACTCTGCCTTTCAAATAAATAAGATAAATCTTAAAAAAAAAAAAAACACACATATTCTAGTTGAGAAGAGAGGGAACAGGTAGCAGAACACTTGCGATGCTACGTGTTCAGGACTGTGGGAGACCACAGGAAGAAACCTACTCCACAGGTGGCAGTCAGGGAAGACTTCCTGGAGGACACAACTTGAAAGGAAGGCTCTCAAGAGCAGGACGCGGCCTTCCCAACCCCGTCTTTCAATCCTTAGGGACAGCTCTGTGGGTCAGGCATTGTTGGCCCTTTTACAGATGAGGCTCCGAAAGGCGTGTACACACCCACAGGACGGATGGCTGTGTGCGCTCCTGGCAGTGTACTCGGACCTACAGCCCAGGGGCTCGAGTCTGATCTCAGCCCCTGGGCCCTGGAGGCCTCATAAGGGCTGGCCCAGGGCTCTCGTCTACACAGGCGGTGCACCACCGGCCGCAGTGTCTACACAGGCGGTCCACCGCCGGCCACAGTGTCTACACGGGCGCTCTATCACTGGCTCCCAGTGTCTGGGAGGAACGAAGGACAGAATGGCTGACAAAGTGCTTCAGCTACACAGAGAGGAGAGGGAGCCCTACAGGGAGGCCGGCCCCGCCCCCTCCCTGCAGAGGCAGGCCCGCAGGCCTCTACGTCCAGCCTCGTCACATGGGCAGAAGCTGGCCCTGCTGAGGCTCTGCCACCTGGAATAAACCAGGCTCTGGCTTGGGTACATCAGCTTCATGGAAAAATGGAACTAAAAGGCAAGTTTATGTTGGTGCAAAAACATTTCGGAACCCATGCATAGTTTCTGTCTTAACACGCACCCCCTGCAAACTTACCGCAGACTCCTCTCTGCGGGGATTTCTCAATGTTTGGCATCAAAATAAACTTCGCTGCTAATCCCATTTTCCGTGAACTTTTGGAAGGACGCACACGTGGGCTGGCTCTTTGCTTCCCTCGGGCTCAGCATGATGGGAAGGCCTAGACTCTGCAGGTGCGTGAAGAACCCCAGAGCCCAGACTGTGCGGGAGGAGCCTCCTAGAAGGGCATTAGGGTCCCAGAGAGATCACAGCTGGATTCTGGTTTTTAATTATTTATTTGAAAGGCAGAGTTAGAGAGAAAGAGAAAGAAAGATCACTCTTCTGTCTGCTGGTTCACTCCCCAAATGGCTGCAACAGCCGGAGCTGGGCCGATCCAAAGCCAGGAGCCTGGAGCTTCCTCCAGGTCTCCCACGAGGGTGCAGGGGCTCAAGCACTTGGCCCATCTTCCACTGCTTTTCCCAGGCCGGAGCAGGGAGCTGGATCAGAGGTGGAGCAGCTGGGACTCGAGCCAGTTGCCCACACGGGATGTCGGCACCAGGCGGAGGCTTTACTCCCTATACCACAGCTCCGGCCACATCACAGCTGGACCCGGGTGGGCATTTTCTGAAGGGTCCCACGTGGGAGAACCAGATGGAGTTCCGGGTTTTGGCCTGGCTTTGACCTGGCCCAGTCCTGGCAGCTGTGGCCACTTCAGGAGTGAACCATCGGATAGAAGATCTCTGCCTCTTAGTCTCTCTTCCCTTAAAATAAATATTTAAATTTCAAATACTTAAAGAACAAGACCCAGGCGGGGGGAAGCATCAGCAACTCAGGGTCAAGGGCCACGGTCTCCTCCCAAACACCTCAGTGGGCAGCGCCAGAGGCTGCCCGGTCCCCGAGGCTACCAGGAGGGGCCAGGGAGCCGTGGTGCTGGGCGGTCAGCTCAAGTGCAGAGCTGGTCTCACCAAGGGCAGGCTTTTATTTCTACTGCTGCCCAGTGTCCTGCAAGGTTCGGCCTGCACTCCTGCGGCCCCTCCTACCCCCTCCACTGCTGTGACCCTCAATCTTCCCATCTCTACAATGGCCTGGCTCTCTAGGAACCAGAGGTGCGTGTGTGGCGGGGAGGGGGAGGGTTTGACAAGGTCTCTCGGATTCCCAGGTCCCTACTGGGTGGGGACGGCGGCTGGGAGCCCGGAAAGAGCCGGCGCCTTTGTCGGGCAGCCTGGGGGAGCACCGTCCTCGGGACCGTGAGCAGGGGCGGGGCGGGCGGGCGCGGGGGCGTGTCCGGGGCGTGCCCTGCGGCCTTCGCCCCGCCCCCGGACGTAGCCGCGAGCCGGCGCGGGAGGGGAGGGGAGGGGAGGGGCGGGGAGGAGCGCGCAGCCCGCCGCCGCCTGGCCGGGCGCAAAGTTTTCCTGGCGGAGTTTTGGCGGCGGCGGCGGCGGTGGCGGTGGCCGGAACGGGCCATGGACGCGCTCAAGTCCGCGGGGCGGGCACTGATCCGGAGCCCCAGCCTGGCCAAGCAGAGCTGGGGGGGCGGCGGCCGGCATCGCAGTGAGTGTGTGCGCGCTGGCCGGGCCGGGCCGGGCCGGGCCGAGGCGCTGGCCTCCCGCGGGAGCCCGGAGTTCGGCCAAGTCGGGGCAGAGGCGGGGCCTGACCCGCGCTCGCGGCCCGGAGCGGCCCTTGCCCGGCGTGCAGGGCTCGGGGGTCGCCCGGGTCACGCCGCTCCCTACCTGTGCAGCCGGGGTGGGGGCAGGATTGGGGAGGGGGCCGAGGGCGGGGTCCCTAGGTGCAGCGAGGGGTGGTCTTGCAAGTCCGGAGGACAGAGCTGTGCGACCCCCCCACCCCGCGCGCGCACCTCCCCACCTCGCCGCGCGGGGCAGCCAGGTGGCGGCGGGAGCTCGGCGGCGGTGCCCGGGCTGGGGAAGGTGTCGCCCCCTCGAACGCCGCCGGCCCCGCCTCCCGGCCGCCCAGGTGTGAGCCTGAGGAGGTGGCAGGTACCCACCTGTTGGCAGCGGGAGGGTCCCGGTGGCGAGACCCGCGGCGGCCTGCCCTCGCACCTCCCCTCCTCCCAGGTCCCCGGGCGCCCCTTCTCCCCGCGCGGCTGGGAGGAGCCTCACCTGGCCCCGTCTCAGGTTCCGCTCGGGAAACTCATCACCTGGCGCCTTCCGCGGCGGCCCGGGAAACCGAGCCCAGGCCGCTTCTCCTTCGCGGGGTCAGTCGCACGGGCCCTTGTGGCTGGGGTGCAGCCGAGCCCCGCACTCCTGGCGGTGCCGCCCACCTGGGGCCGCCGCCCTCACCCCACCTGGAAGCAGCTCCGGGGCTGTGTGCGCCCTGCCCTCCATTCCCGCGGGGCCTCCGGGGGCTCCGCCCTCGCTGGTCCCGGGCGCGCCAGCGTGTCTGGGCCTGGGAGCCCGCCCTGCCCGCCTCTTGCCCCCTCTGCGGTGGCAGCTGCGCCGGCCTCCTAGCCCAGACTGGCCTTGGGAGCGGCTGGTGCCTGCTGCGGAGGGTGGGGTCACCGACCCGCTGGGGCCGCAGGCCAGGGATGTGCCATCTCCCACACTTACTCCCAAAATAGCCCTTTTAAAAAAAATGCGTGGGATTTGACCAGGACTGCTGGGAATGCCCGGCTGTTGCAGGGTGGCAGAACCCCGCCGGGACGTCCAGGGGTGTAGGGGAGATGGTGGGTGCCACAGCCCCCGGGAGGGAGGCCCAGGAGTGCCTTCACTCTGGGGAAGGGGAAGAGGCAGCCATGGGGTGCTGGGAGGGTTTCTGTTGCCTGTCCAACCCTTGAGCAAGTCCCTGCCCTCTCTGACCCCTGCCTTCCTCATCTGCAAAGTGGACACAGCTCCCGGGCTGGCGGGGCTGGGAAGCAGAGCCCGGATAATCCCAGCTCTCCTGGCTGCTGTGTGGACTCTCCCACTCCCTCCTGGGGCGGTGTGGACCCTCACATGGTGGGAGCTGTGCTGGGGCAGGCCACAGCCGGGCTGCACCTCCAGGGAAAAGACGAGCAGAGTGGGTCTCCCTCCCCCAGGCCCCTGTGAGCCCAGGGCCAGAGTCCCAGCTGCCCTTCTTACGTCTCGTTTCCCTCACCTGCAGACTGGAAGGGAGGTGGTGCCTGCTTCCTGCCCACCGTGCCAGGTTGAGTGAGATGGCCTTTGGCGCATGGAGGAAGAGCTCAGCCAGTGGTCACCACGGTGACCGGTGACCACGGCCTCTGTCGCTGTCTGACCAGTGTTTTTGTTTGCGTGATTTCACATGCTCCTGTGGAGGGACCCGAGCAGGGGATTCAGAGACAGCGGAACGAGGCCCAGTAAAGTGAGCTTCCCAGAGGCGGAGCTGAGGCAGGGGTCTCAGCGGTGCCCCGGGGGACTGTCGCCCTGGCAGCAGCAGAAGGCAGCCCCTGAAGACAGCGGTGGCCACGACTGCCAGAGGGAAGCCGAGGGGGCACCTGTGCTGGGGTGCGGGCGCAGCCTTGCTCCGGGCTGTGAACCAGCCAGGTCTTGGCTATGGCCTCGGGTTTGAGTTTGGGGTAGACTTGACTCCTGCCGCCACCTGTGACCTGCTCCTCACCCTCAAGGTTCTCACCTAGGATTAGCGCGAATATTGTTTAATTCCTCCTGGTGGAGGAAGAAGCCCAGAGGTGGCTGCAGCTCGCCTGAGGTCACACAGCAAAGCCAGCGCCCCAGGCTTCCACCCTGGGCCCGAGGCCTCCTGGCTCCCTCTCCCACAAGGGCTTTTTCCCATCTCTCGGGGAACCGTAAATGTTTCACCTCACTCCCTATCCAAGGATTCTCCTTTCTTCCCAGTGCCCAGAAGGGTGGCTCACCTTGGTCCCTTAGTACCTTTCTTTCCAAAGGTTCCGGGGTCACTCTGACCCTCAGACCCCTTTGGGGGATGTGCCAACCTGTCAGAGAACTCAAAGAGAAGGGGTGAAAAATGGGGTTCAGGGGCCGCCACTGTGGTGCAGGAGGTCACTTCGCTGCTTGTGATGCCAGCATCCCGCTTCGGAGCACCTCGTTCAAGTCCCGGCCGCTCTGCTCCCAACCCAGCTCCCTGCTGTGCACCTGGGAAAGGAGTGGGTGAGGCCCAAGCCCCTGCCGTCCACATGGGAGACCCACTGAGTTCTTGGCTTCGACCTGGACCAGCCCCTGCTGTTGTGGCCTTCTGTGGAGTGAACCAGCAGATGGAAGATCGATCTCTCTCTCTCTGTCACTCTGCCATTCAAATAAATAAGTAAATCTTTAAAGAGGACATGGGAGGCTGGCGCCGCGGCTCACTAGGCTAATCCTCCGCCTTGCGGCGCCAGCACACCGGGTTCTAGTCCCGGTCGGGGCGCCGGATTCTGTCCCGGTTGCTCCTCTTCCAGGCCAGCTCTCTGCTGTGGCCAGGGAGTGCAGTGGAGGATGGCCCAGGTGCTTGGGCCCTGCACCCCATGGGAGACCAGGAGAAGCACCTGGCTCCTGCCTTTGGATCAGCATGGTGCACCGGCCGCAGCGCGCTGGCCGCGGCAGCCGTTGGAAGGTGAACCAACGGCAAAGGAAGACCTTTCTCTCTGTCTCTCTCTCTCATTGTCCACTCTGCCTGTAAAAAAAAAAAAAAAAAAAGGACATGGGGTGCAGGTTCCAGCAAAGTTAGTTTATGTTAGTTTATGTTGGTAAGTGGGGGGAAGGATCTATTCATATTGATTTATAATATTTGTTGTAGGAGTATAAATAAGTATTTAAAGAGGTATTTGAGAGAGAGTGAACTCGCAGCCATTGGTTCATTCTCCAAATGCCCGTAATGGCTGGCACTGGGCCAGCTCAAAGCCAGGAATTGGGAACTTGATCCTGATTTCCCACGTGCGTGGCAGGAACCCAATCACTTGAGCCACTGTCGCTGCCTCCCAGGGTCTGCATTGACAAGAAGCCCGAGTCAGGAGCCCGGAATTGAACCCAGGTGCTCCTATGGTGGTTGTGGGCATCTAAGCTGCTATACTGAACGCCCGCCCCGTGTAAATATTCAACGCCCCCCAAACCGCTCCATTTGCTGAGCTCTGGGCAGGTGGGCACTGACTGCGGAGTCTGTGGGACTGAGTTGTGTTGCTTCTGATAATTTTTTTTTAGATTTATTTATTTGAAAGGGACGATTACAGGGGGAGGGGAGGGGAAGAGAGAGAGATGGTCCATTCACTCATTCACTCCCCAAATGGCTGCAACGGCTGGAGCTGGGCCGATCCGAAGCCAGGAGCCAGGAGTTTCTTCTGGATCTCCAATGTGGGTACAGGAACAAGCACTCGGGCCATCCTCCGCTGCTTTCCCAGGTGTATTCGCAAGGAGCTGGATTGGAAGTGGAGCAGCTGGGGCTCAAACCACTGCCCATATGGGATGCTGGCGCTGCAGGAGACAGCTTAACCAGCTACAAAGCCGGCCCCTCTTCTGATCAGCCTGGCGAAAGAGTCGACAAAGTGACAGGGATGCCAAGAGGTAGCAGGGCTGGTGATGGTGGCAATGCTACGACCCACTATAAAGCGGCTGAGGAACCTACGGGGACTGCTGCTTTAGATGGGGTGGGGTCTTTGTCGGGTTATTCTAGGGGTGGATGCAGATCTGAGTGCCAACCGTGTACTTGGGAAGAGGTCCTGGGAGCTGTCGTCAGGACAAGGAGAAAGGGGACTCGGGAGAGGGCACTGTGAAGCCTGTGGCCACTGCAGTGCTCTGGGAGGCCGGGTGGCCGTGCCCTGGGAGGGGCGGCTCCTGGCAGCAGTGGGTGCAGGATGCTGTGCCCGGCCATCTGAATTCCCCAGGCCATGCTGGCTGCCGCGTCTCCACAGCCAGAGACGCCCACAGGCAGCCTGGCGGTCAGTGGCACAGAGGACATGAGGGTGGCTGGGGCTGCTCAGTGAGCCTCTGGGGGAAGGACACTTGGGAGGCACAGGTGAATCTGTGGAGAGAAGGATCTGGGCAGAGCGAGCTGGCCAGAGGGGACAGCAGGTGCAGGGGACACTTAACCAGAGGCTGGAGCTCTGCCTCTGGCAGCTCTGGTAGGGAGGGACACCCACGTGGCCTCCAGGAGGCACAGGTCCCCCACTGCCCGCTGAGCGCCAGATGCTTCTTTTGGGCAGCCTCTCCTGGGGTGTTTGAGAGCAGAGCTCAGCCTGACCCCTGCCTTGGTGCAGGGTGTGGTGGGCTGCAGGAGTGGGGGTGGGACTCGTGTCCCCGTGCTGAGCCAGGAGCCATGACGCTGAGTTTGTCTGCTTGTGAAATGGGAATGCCGATGGAGCCTTGAGCCTTCTCCAGAAGCGCTGTAAGAGGGCGTGTGCACATTAAAAACAGCGTACCGGGCCCTTGGTAATGACCGGCACTCATGCTTGGGCGCAGGACAAGGCTGCAGGCCCACCCTGTGGGGCCTCGCTTCATCCTCGCAGCTGCCCCAAGAGGTGGACGCTGTTACGGTCCCTGTTTCTTTTTTAAGATTTATTTTGTTTATTTGAGAGGTAGAATGATGGAGGGAGGGAGAGACAGAGATCTTCAATCTGTTGATTCACACCCCAGATGGCTACAGCAGCCCCCCAGGGGCTCCCACATGGGTGCGGGGGCCAAAGTGCTTGGGCCCTCCTCCACTGCTTTCCCAGGTGCATTAGCGGGGACCTGGATCAGAAGTGGAGCAGCCGGAACTTGAACCAGCGCTCCCATATGGGGTGCTGGCCTTGTAAGAGGCAGCTTAACCTGCTGTAGCCCAGCGCTGGCCCCGGTCCCTATTTCAAAGGGAAGACACGGCTGACTGCCCCCGCTGGGCTCTGGACTCTGGGGCCCGTTTCTCCTGTGCAGCTTCCGAAACAGTCTCAACAGCTTTAACTTCTGGGATTTGCCAAGCACTTCCGCTCCCAGAGCCTCCGGCCAATGGTGCTTCTGGTGTCGGTCCTGTTTGTCAGCTAAGGAGGCAGCCGGCCCGTGGCCTGCTCCAGCAGGGTGGAGCTGAGGTCCCCCCCGCCACCCCGAGATGTTGTCGGCTTCTGAAGCCATTGCCCCTCCAGGCTGGAGGCAGCCGGAGCCAGGGCCCGGGCGGCGCTGATGTTCCGGGCACCATCCGCCGGGTCTGCGGGGGCAGCAGAAGGGACACGAGGCATCCTGCCCGGCCCTGGCTCCTGGTGGGAGGCCTTCACGGAAGAAGCAAGCGATTCCCTGCTGTCGGTCAGCCTGGACATATGGTCTGTCCCCGGCTAACGCCAGCAGCAGGTCATCTGTAAAAGTGCTAAGTGAAAATAGCGCAGTCATTCCCCCACCACAGGGCCAGAAATAACTGGGACTGAAATGGGGCTGCGGACGCGGGCCTGTATGTGCCTGGGCGGGGGGTGGGGGGAGCGCGTGGCCCCAGCCGGGCGGCTGCAGCGCTGCCCTGCGTCCTGTCCAGGTGGGGCAGGAAGCTCTGCGTGTACGTCTGGGCTGAAGGCCCCAGTGCTGGCTTCTGTAGGGAGAATGTGGCTCCAAGAGGCCCCGGGAAGGGGGGTGTCACGTGCCCAGACGTGCAGTACGGGGGACAGGGTTCCCTGGAAGAAAGGAGCATCCTGCTGGGCCGGGGGTGGGGGGGGACCAGGTGACTGGGTGGAGATGGGGCAGGGAAGAGGAGGAGGAGACTGGCGGGGACCCCTTCTCCTCTGAGCCCTGGGGACAAATGCAAATGGCAGGTCGGTGAGGGTGGGCTGGTGGGCAATGAGGCTGCAAGAGAACTGGAGGCAGGCTTCCGCTCCAGAACGGTGCACAGGGTGAGGCTCTGGTGCTGCAGGTTAAGCCGCTGCCGTCAGCATGGGGTCAGGCCTCAGCTGCTCCACTTTGGATCCAGCTCCCTACTCATGCCCTGGGAACGTGGCTCTTGATGGTCCAAGCACTTGGGCCCCTGTCACTCACATAGGAGACCCAGATGAAGTTTTGAGCTCCTGGCTTTGTCCTGGCACAGCCCCATGGAAGGCTCAGGGAGTGCCTGCCACAGCCCCGCCCTTCGTGTGTTCTTTCATCTCATTATCCCACTTGTTATACCCAGGGCTCTCAGCCCTGTGAACTAGGGACTGTTGAAAGCCGGCTCGGGGGAGGTGATTAACTGACTCAGGATCACGCAGCCATGAGACAGCCCTGGGATGCCGGATCCAGGCCCTGGCTCCTAACCACTGGGCCACACTGCCTCAGAGAAGGCCTCCCGGGAGAGGCTGGAGGTGTGGGGCCCTGGTCACGTGCTGAGCAGAAGGGTGTTTTGCATAGAAGGAGCCACTGGAGCCTGGAGTGGAAGAGCGAGTGCCACCTCGCGAGGCTTGTTCTGCGTGGAGCTGCTGGGGGGGGGGGGGGGACACGCAGGCCCCGCGGGGAGTGCCAGTAACGGGCAGAGCTGGTGGTCAGGTCCTCAAGACTTGCCGCACGACCTAGCCCAGCTCCCGTCCTTTCTGATCTCCCTCGTAACCCCATCGTGAGGGGTTTGGGCAGAGGGTTTCTGAGGCTGGCAGGGGCTGACAGCATCCAGGGAGGGGGTAGGACAGAGGAGAGTCAGCCCAGGGCAGGAGGAAGTGCAGAAAAATGCCAGGCATCTTGGAGGTCAAGAGCACTGGGGACTGTTTTGACAGCAGAGAGATCACTAGTGACCTTGGAAGTTTTGGCCGTTTGGAATGGAGGCAGCGGAAGTGGCTTTGGAAGGGGGCCAGGAGAGGGCTGAGCAGGAGGAAATGGGAGAGGGGGGACGTGACAATGGGGGGAGGAAGGTTGTTTGCTATAGGGCAGGAATGGGTAATGAGATGAGCAAGGCCACCCCCCATCGATTGGTATCACCCGCAGGGGGCCTTGCGTTGAGAAGCAATCAGAGCTGCAATCGATTAACCATGTCTGCCAAGGGCACAGGCGACGGGCACGTCAGCACCTCTTGCCATCCCAGCTTAGATGAGTTTCAGAGTGAGAGTGTTGGTCTGCGTATCTTGGCCTGCAGGGAGAAAGGGAGGCACTAAGTGCACCTAATTCCAGGTGGGAATAGGAATATCTCCTGCTCCAAGAACCTCTTCCTGGCCTTTGGCCAGAATTAAGCTATTGTGTGGTCTGATTGTCAAGACTTGAGCTTTAAAGCCCGGGTCCTTTGAGCCCGTCCCCTCATCTGTAGAATGGGAGTGACGGTGCCAGCTTGCAGGGTATCTGCGTGTGTCCGAGGTAATGGGCACAGCCATTGCGGTCGTTGCCGTGTACTGGGTGGACCCTGGGGATGTGTTGGGCTCGATTTCTTTGAGAGCACCAGGGTCTCCACCACCCAGCTCAGGACTGGGTGCACCTCAGGGACCTGCTGGTTCTTTGTGTAAATCCCGTGGGGCAGGCTTGTGGATGGGATAGAGGAGGGGGCCGCCTAGGGCCCTGGGGTCATCTCGTGTCCGGAAGAGGCCTCGGGCGGGGGCCGGAGGAGGGGCGGGGTTGTCCTCGGCCCCCCACTCAGCAATCCTGAGCAGCAGCTGCAAGCCAGGTTCTGAGGCCCAGCCGTCCGGCGGCGCACGCAGCTCTGAGCGGGTGGGGAGGGGGCGGGTGCAGCTGGCAGTTTCTGTCTGACCCCTCCTCCTCATGCACGCTCTCACTTCACTTGCGGAAGTGGGCTCAGAGAGGGACAGTCAAATCCAGAGACGTGCGTGTGTGTGTTGGGTTGTGCAGGCTGCCCCTGGCCGTGGTGGAGGGAGGCAGAGCCCCCCAGAGGCCTAGGGCTCTGGGACAGGAGCTGGGAGAAGCTGCAGGGGCTCCGACTGGGCATGGTACCCCTGAGTCCAGGTTTCCCTCCTGACAGTGCAGGAAGCCCAAGGCCCTGAGCCCTGTTCCTGTGGCTTGTCCATCAGAGCCAGGGACGAAGCCCCAGGAGGAGGCAGCAGCGTGGGCATCCATTCTTCCTGGGGATGGGGCCACTAGGGGCCCGGGGAGCGTCCTTCCGTGCTGCCTCCTTGCTCCTGGCTGAGTGACGGGTGCTGTGGGCCGTCTGGACCCCCGTGGGGACTGTGTCCCTCACACCCCTGCCGCCGTGGGTGGGGCAGGGCGGGGCTGACTCCTGCTCTCCCAGCCTGCCTGACTCTGGCAGCAGCAAAGGGTTCAAAGACCACCCCCAGCTGCCAAGTAGTCCGCCGTGTGCCACAGCCAAGGCCCATGGGTGGGTGTGGTCCCTCTCACAGGGGCCTGGAGCACAGCTGGGATTTGTATCACGTGGGTGGTGCCACTGGAAAGAGCCCCTCCCCCACCCCGTGCAGATGGCCTGAGGCAATGGAGCTGGGGCCGTGACAGCCGCCCAGGTGACCTGTGTGGCCCTGGTCTTAGAACCTCCTCTCTCAGCCTGAGAAACAGGGCGAATGCCCACCTCCCAGATCACACTCCAGGTTCATCAAGGTTTGCCCGTGACCAGGGTCAGTGTTGAAGTTCAGAACTGGGGCACGTGGCACCGATTTGGGCTGTGAACTTGGGCCTCCTGGGCCCCAGCATCCGTCGGCTGGGATGGGGTGGGGGTTGGTTAAAAGTGCCTCCCGGGTCCCTGTGAGGGTGGATGGGAAGATTGTATGGGAAATTTCCTACAAGGCACGTGGAATGTTCTGGAAAATGTTACGCCTTTATTAAAAGTCGTAGTTATGGTGGGCGAGAGGACCCTGGCGCCCCTTGCTGGGTTCTCCTAGAAGGGCTGGTGAGAGCTGGGCTGGGGGGGGCCGTGCCCAGCAGGGCTGAGCGCCTGTCCTGTTGCATCCCGCCCAGAGCTGCCCGAGAACTGGACGGACACCCGGGAGACGCTGCTGGAGGGCATGCTGTTCAGCCTCAAGTACCTGGGCATGACGCTGGTGGAGCAGCCCAAGGGCGAGGAGCTGTCGGCCGCCGCCGTGAAGAGGATCGTGGCCACGGTGAGCCCCCGGGTCGGGTGGGATGGGAGCCACGAGCCCCGGCCAGCTGCTGCCCAGAGCCCTCGTCCCCAGCTTGTGACTCATGAGGCATGTCTGAGCCTGGTCCTGCCCTCCAGTCCCCGTGGGTCCAGTCTTGGGGGGGAGGGGCCAGCATCCTCCACTCCAGCCATTGTGGCCCCATTCCCTTCCAGCTTCCCCTCCCCCGGCGCAGGCTCCCTGCCTAAGCCCTGGTGACAGGTGGTGGGGGGTTGCTGTCACTCAGTTATTTTCCCAGTGGCCTGAGAGATTACGTAACCCCCTCCTCCAGCTCCGAGAGACCAGATTGCCCTCTGCCTGGCCCTGGGTGAGGCATGGGTGGGGCAGAGTCCTGTGGGTTCACAGCCCTCTCAGCCCTGAGTCTGGGCCCCCTCCAGCGCGTGTCCCCAGGCAAGTCCCTGAGCCTCTGAGTCCGTTTCCTGCTGCCTGCCTTGCTCAAGGTCCAGTGCTCGCAGGCGGTGGGCACTGCTCGGCACAGAGGGTGGTCTTCCTGCTGGCCTCCTGTGCTGAGACCCAGGAGGGCTGGGTGTGGCCACCAGGGTGGGCCCCAGGGGAGGTGCCTCTGACCCCTGTCTGCCCCAAGGCCAAGGCCAGCGGGAAGAAGCTGCAGAAAGTGACCCTCAAGGTGTCGCCTCGGGGCATCATCCTGACCGACAACCTCACCGACCAGCTCATCGAGAACGTGTCCATTTACAGGTACGCCCCCAACCCTAGGGACCACGCCGCTTCAGTTCCCGCAGCTGCTGGATGGGGCGGCGGGAGGCGCTGGGTCCGTAGCTCTCGGTCACCCTGCAGTCGCCGGGAGTGGCAGGTGGCTGAGGCTCGAGCCAGGCCTGCACACCCCGCCTGCCCCGCAGAGGCTGCTGAGTCAGGCTCGCAGCAGGGGGCTGCCGAGTCATGGCCTGCCTTCCGCCGTGAACGCGGCAGCTCAGCCCTGGACTTCTGGCTGGCTGCCTTCCCGGGGAGGCCTCAGGCGGAGCCTGGGCCGGGGATAGATGCCCTGTCTCGACAGTGGCTCCCTGGCCCCAGTCGGTGGGGCCTCAGGCTGCCCCCCACCTCCTCCCGCCTGGCTGGTTGTGGGGTTTCAGAACTGGAAGGGAGAACCCAGGTCCACTGTGCCTGTGGAGATGCTGAGGCTGAGGATGGCCTGAGGTGGTGTGGTGAGGAGGTGGCTGAGCTGGGCACCCACAGTGCTCGGGGGGGTCCAGCTCATGTCTTCCTCTTCCCCTCCTGACCCTGCACGCCTGCCTCTTGCCAGCATTCCCAGGCACGAGCTCTCTCGGATGAGAAGTGTGGCCCAGCCCCTGCCCACAAGGAGCTTCCGGTCGAGGAGCGGGTGAAGGGAGGTAGAGAAGAGTGGTTCCCACTTGCTGGGAGTGCTGCCTCTCTGCTGGGCCTTGAAGAGTAGCAAGATCTGGTTGATTGGTGCCAAGGACCCAGGAGTAGTTAGGCAGGAGGCTGGACCTGGCGCTCCTCCCTCTGCCCAGCCCCGGGTTAAGTGGGGCTGGTTCCTGTGATGGGAGAGGGGCCGGGCCTGCCCAGCTCCTGTCTCGCCTCTGAGCCGCCAGGGTGGTTGAGGCGGCATGCAGAGGGGACCGGTGTCCCGAGGGCTCAGGGTGCCCAGGCTGTGCACAGAGATTGGGTGGGCAGCGTGTTCCATGTAGAGGGGCTGTTGTGTCCCCTGACCCACACGTTCCCACCCTGACTCCCAGCTCCTCCACGCCTCCAGGGGGACTCGCTAACAATCCCAGGCACCCTGGCAGAGACGGCCCGGGTCTCCTCTGACCCCTGGGCAGGGGCGGCCAGGCGAAGGGCACGGGAGCACAGGGTGGGGTCCTGTGTGCGGCCAGTAGGCACAGACCCTCCCGGGGCAGCCTGGCTGGGCCTGTAGCCTCGAGTCCCACAGGGGAGCTCAGGCCCCAGCTCCGTCACCGGCTCTGTGTTCCTAGATCTTTAGCCTCCATTTCAGTGGGGATGATTATGGAACCCATCCCAGAGGGCAGAATTAGAAAGAGGCGATATCTAGAAAACCAATGGCACGCTGCCTGCTGGGTGCCCAGGGCTCAGCTGTTTGGGGATACAGCCCAGTGTGGGGGGAGGGGAAGAGGAGCACTGTCCTTCCTCCGGTCTAACCACTCCCACCACGTCCCTCCCACCTGGTCTGGGTCCCTCCCCAGGAGGCGGCCTGGGATTCTGGTCTAGAGACCAAGGCTGGCTCTCCGGAGGCCCGCCCTGGTGGAGGGGGAGTGGCAGCCTCTGGGGCACAGCGCATCCCAGGGGCCGGGCCAGCGTCATCCCTCCCGCTTCCCTTCCAGGATCTCCTACTGCACGGCCGACAAGGTGCACGACAAGGTGTTTGCCTACATCGTCCAGAGCCAGCACAGCGAGAACCTCGAGTGCCACGCCTTCCTCTGCACCAAGCGCAAAATGGTCAGTGTGGGGGCGGGGCTGGGGCGGGGCTGGGCTGGGGCTGGGCTCTGGCCTTGCCCTGGAAGCCTGGTCTACAGGGCCCGTCCACTGGGAGAGGTGGAACCCAAAGGTGGCAGTCCCTTATTTAAAAAGGTGCCATCTCCAGGAACCCCAGGTGGATGCTGAGAACCGAGTTAGGGCCACGGTCAGGATGGGCAGTGGGTGGTGACTGGCCCCAGGCTGTCCTCATTGTAGTGTGGGCTGTTATCTGGGGGTCGCCAGCATGGGCCCAGACAAGAGCCCCCGCCGGAGGCCAGGCCTGCTGGGCCAGAGCAGGGAGGGAGGTGGCCTTTGGGGTACCTGCTCCCAGCCCTTCGCAGCCCCTGGCTCTCAGGTATTACCTCATTTTTTTAAAAAGATTTATTTATTTATTTGAAAATCAGAGTTATACAGAGAGAGAGAGAGAGAGAGAGAGAATCTTCCATCTGATGGTTCACTCCCCAGATGGCCGCAATGGCCAGAGCTGCACCAGTCCGAAGCCAGGAGCCAGGAGCTTCTTCCAGGTCTCCCATGTGGGTGCAGGGGCCCAAGGACTTGGGCCATCTTCTACTGCTTTCCCAGGCCACAGCAGAGAGCTGGATCAGAAGTGGAGCAGCTGGGACTAGAACCAATGCCCCTATGGGATGCTGGCGCTTTAGGCCTGGGCGTTAACCCGCTGCGCCACAGCGCTGGCCCCAGGTATTATCTCATTTAATCCACACGGTGAGGCTGCAGGGTCAGCGCTGTTGCAGTCTGTGTTGAGTGTATTATTTTTAGGAGGAAACAAGGCTCCCAGGCGCCCAGTGTGGCAATGGGGACGCAGCTGGTGGGGCTGAGTGGGCCTTACACCCTCATTTCCTCCCCACCCTTCATGCCTGAGGGGCCCAGAGCTCTTTATCCGATTTCTAGTGACCCCGTGATCTGCATCACTGGTGGGAGGACCTTGCTGGTCCCTGGACATCTGACTTGAACTTGGGCACAGGAGCCAGAGCGGGTCCCCTTCACTGTTGAAGCTGTCATTTCTTTTTTCTTTTAAGATTTATTTATTTATTTGAAAGAGTTTCAGAAAGGCAGAGAGAGAGAGAGAGGTCTTCCATCTGCTGGTTCACTCTCCAAGATGGCCACAACGGACAAAGCTGAGCTTATCCAAAGCCAGGAGTTTCTTCCCTATCTCCCACATGGGTGCAGGGGCCCAAGGACTCGGGGCATCTTCCACTGCTTTCCCAGGCCATAGCAGGGAGCTGGATTGGAAGTGGAGCAGCCAGACTAGAACCAACGCCCATGTGGGATGCCGGCACTGCAGTCAGTATCTTTACCCACTACGCCACAGCGCTGGCCCCTGAAGCTTTCACTTCTCAGGCCCCTGAGCTCTGAGATGGTGCCCTGCACAGGGGCTGCTGGCCTCTGCTAGCTGCTGCTCATAGCTCTGCCTGTGGGGCACACTCGGCCATTGGCGTGGGATTCTCTGGGTGCTGCCGGAAATGACCACAGACTGGATGGCCTACAGCAGCACACGCAGGTCACAAGGTCCCTGGGTCTGTTTCTTCCGGAAGCTCTGGGGAGACTCATTCCTCCTTTCCACATCTCCCTGCCACCTCGGCCCCTCCCCCAAGGCCCCTCGCTTAGCCTTTGTCTCTGGACTCCGCCCCCCCCCCCCCCCATCTCCCTGTGGTGACATTAGCTTCCCAGGGTAAGGCAAGATGATCCCTGCCTGAGGTCCTTCCCTTACCCAGGCAGAGAGCCCTGCTGTGCAGGTGTCAGCTCAGCTCCGCATAGGTTGCACGGGTTAGGATGTGGCGACCCTGCCACAGGTGTCACGGGTAGGGCCGAGCCAGGGCCTGAATGTGCTGTGTGACCTGGGGTGAGAGCCTGCTCCCCTGGGGGCCGCTTCTGGTCTGCGGGAGGGCAGAGACCACCGGGCTTGCCCGAAGATCTTGGTTTCTTTTTCCTGCCTTGTTTCCTGCAGACATGGTGTCCCCGGCCACTCCCCAGGGTCCTGAGCCGCAGGGGCTCCTCCCGTGACAGCCTTGTCCCCGAACAGTGGCTCTAAGGAGGCCACACAGACTTAAAATACAAGCTCATCAGGTCCCCATTGTTCGTCTCTTCCTCCCTACAGACCCAAGTGAGCACAGGGCGGGGGTGGGGCCAGCCAGCTCATGTGCCCTGGCACTGCCAAGTGTGAGCCCTGGCTGTGAGGGGCATTTCTGGGGGCAGTGTCTTCCTCTGGGGTGGGTTGGGGGTCTGGGAGGAAGAGAAAGGAGATGGCTCAGCGGTTCAGAGGGAGGCCCGGCCTGGGCCAGAGACCTTTAGACAGGCTTGAGTGCAGGCAAGGCCAGGAGGGCCGCGCTGAGCGGGCGCCGGTTCCTTCCGGGCAGTCGGATTCCAGGTTTTCTCTGTGCTGCTCTCTGCAGGGGATGGCTCATCTTTCGCCCGGCACCCAAGGCCTTGGCTCGGCACAGGCCTTGGCGTGGCATGGGCCTTGGCCCAGTGCAGGCTGGCCCTATTTGGAAGCCGAGATTCTCAGGTTTGCTAGCAGTTTCCTGTAAGGTGAAATGGGTGCCTCGGGTCCTACGGCCACCTGCCAGCAGCGGCCTCCCAGAGGTGGGGCCGCCTGTCCTGGGCCGAGCCCTGTTCTGGGCACCGAGGACCCGAGGACTCGGCCGAGGCAGGGGATGGGGGGCGTGTGCAGTCATGGGAAGGGCCATGCGGGGTGGAGGGGAGGAACTCGGGATCAGCCCCACTCCAGACACAGGGCGGTTTCTAATCAGGCTTTGGAGAGAGGTCCAGCCGTAGTGCCAGTCTCCTGCGGCCACACCAGGAAGCAGGCGGCCTGGGCTTGCGGCCACCTGCACATATCAGCCTCTGGGGTCATCTTTGGTTTAATTTACAGCTCGGGACACCAGGGCAAAGGGGAGGGGATGTATGCAAATGATGTGGCGGATTTATGCAAACACAGTGGGCGCCTGGGTCCCCAGGTTTCCTGCAGGCGGGGGTACGGGTGTTTCCATGTCCTGGCCACGTCGGTGACCAGCCCGCGCCTGGGTGCGGAGGGCCTGACTCGGGCTGGTAATTAGCCCATATTTTTAGTTCATGGACGATTCTCAATGGTAACTGGGTCTATTAAACTTGATTCAGACGTGACAGCTCAAATTGTAAACAGCTGTGAAGAGCTTCGTACTTAATTACCATATTTAAGTTTTGCCATAAAGCGCCCGTACTTCCATCAAAAATGTAAATGACGGAGACATTCAAATGAGATTTTATACTTCGTGAGGTTTAATTGGCACAGATCAGTCAGCTTGTTTAGGGATCTTAAATTTTTTGGAAAAAGAATTTTCAGGGCAGTGGCCACAGACTCATTTCTCAATTAAGCTAAGTTGAGTGGGGGAGGGAGGGCTGCCGGCCGGGCCTGGGTGGGCCTGGGTGGGCCTGGGTGGGCGTGGGCCGGCTCCCTTGGAAGGATCGGGTGCTGTCTTCCCTGGGCTGGGCTTTCAGGAGGAAGCTCCAGGGCTCCCGTGCCCGGCAGTGGTGCTGGCTCATCCTGCCGTGGGATCGGGGAGACAGCGCTGAGGTGAGAGTGAGCCGGGACAGGGCCTGGCCGGAGCGAGGCTCCCACAGGTCTGCCCTTGGCCAGCGCCTGCTACTGGGGCACTGGCGCGTGCAGACAGCATGTTGGTTTTAGGGAGCACACGGGCCTGCAAGCCAGAGGGAGGTGGGTAGGGCCGGAGGAGCCCAGTGCTGGTGACAGGGAATAAAGGGGTGGATAGGGGGTTCTCCAGGCCGTGGCCCCTCCCGGCAGGTGGGTCGGGCGCTGGATGGTTTTGGGGGCCGACACTCCACTCGCCAACACCCGGCTTCCGTGGGGAAGTTGATAAGCCGCCTTCGCGCTTGCTGAGACCCAGTGTCGGCCCCTCTGATCCTGCACGGTCCAGGCCAGGGTCTGACCTTGCAGCCCTGGCTCTTTTGTTTTCCAACTCCACGGGCTAAGGTAGTGAATGAAGTCCTCAGGTAGTCAGGGAGGGCTTCTTGGAGGAAGCGAGCCTCCCCGTTCATCTGATGGAGGGTAGATGGAGGTGAAGGGAACTTCGGCCTAGCGGTGGTGGGGTGGGGTCCCTGCTGCCTCCGCCAGGGGGTGGCGTTGGTGCTCGGGGCCCTGCCTGGGGTGGAACCCGCGGGAGCAGCTGTGCGGGAGTTCAGACGTGCCCCTCCCCGCCCCTCTTCCTGTTGGCAGGCGCAGGCTGTCACCCTCACCGTCGCCCAGGCCTTCAGAGTCGCCTTCGAGTTTTGGCAGGTGTCCAAGGAAGGTGAGTGTTTCCCAGGGACTGGGCGGGGTGGGGTCGGGGACAGGTAGAGGCCCCAAGTCAGGCCTGGTCTGGCTCCCAGCACTGTGCCCGGCCTGGCCCGGCGCGAGAGTCTGCCCTCGGCCCTTCCCCCGAGTGTGTGTCCCCCGCTGGAGAGCGGCGGCAGCTGTGGCCCAGCCCAGGCTGGGGAGGCTCATGGCTTCTGCCTGGCCGGGTGCTGATGCTGGCCTCTGACAGTGAGTGCTGGGGACAGAGTGCCGGGGCCCGAGGCTCCCACGTGCTGTGCGTTGGTCCCACAGAGAAAGAGAAGAGGGAGAAAGCCAGCCAGGAGGGCGGGGACGCCGTGGGGACCCGCCGGGACAGCGCCCCGTCGCTGAAGAACCGTGAGTCCAGGGTTGGGGCGGGCGGGCTCTGGCTCAGCTGCAGGACCAGGAGAGAGCCCAGGGCACACTTGGGGTTTTTGTTTTTGTTTTGTTGTCAGGTAACTAATATACATTCACTGTAGATAAATTAGAAAACATGGACACGGGCGGAAAGTCCTCATTTGGGTGTGTGTTCTTCCAGCTGCCGCCCTGTGCAAACAGATAAATATGGCCGCCCCCAGCGTCCCTGGGGGGTCGGCTCCAGGACCCCCGCAGACTGGCGGCCTGGAGAAGGCTCAGGCCCTGGTATGGATAGGTGGTGTGGGCAGTGTGTGTGGTGTGCGCGCGGAGCCCGCCCATGCCCCCTCCGCACTGCAACGTCTCTAGTGGCTTCTGACACGTGATACTGCGGTGTCAGGGAACGAGGATGGGGACGAAAGCCAGCACGGCCCCAGTGCAGGTGCAGGGGCGCCCCCAGCATCTCTGACCGAGGCTGGCTGAATCCGCGGATGCGCAGCCCACGGTTACGGGGAGCCAGTGTGTCTCCGTCCATCACCACACGCCACATCTTACTGGTGTGCTTGCTTGATAAACCTTTTTAAGATTTTTTTTTTTTTTTTTGAAAGGCAGAATGACAGAGGGAGAGACAGAGGTCTTCTATCTGCTGGCCACTCCCCAAATGTCTGTAACAACCAGGGTTGAAGCCAGGAGCCTAGAACTCCGTCCAGGTCGCCCAGGGTGGATGACGGGGTCCCAAGCACTTGGGCCGTCCTCCACTGCCTCTCCAAGTGCACCAGCAGGGAACTGGATTGGAAGCAGAGCAGCCAGGCTCTAACTGGTGCTCCGGTGTGGGATGCTGGCGCTGCAGGTGGCGGTTCCCCCTGGGCCCCAACACCAACCCCTGTCTTGACAAACTTAAAAGTTGTTGTGAACAGAAGAGCTTCCGTTTAAACACATGGGGGGACAGGTTCTGGGCCCACAGTCCAGGTGCTGGCTGGGAAGGGGCCAGGGTGAGATCACTGTGGGCTGTGGGTGCTGGGCCTGGGAAGGCCACGTCTCAGCGGGGAGTCAGGACCAGGACAGCCCAGGGGGCTCCAGGACACAGTGGGGGGTGGGCTGAAGAAAAGAGGCTCCTTGCCAGCTGACACCCCAAACCGGACCCTGTCGTAGAGGTCGCCACCGGGAACCTGCTGGACTTGGAAGAGATGGCCAAGGCCCCGCTGTCCACGGTCAGCGCCAACACCACTAACATGGATGAGGCACCGCGGTCCCAAGCCTTGGGCAGCAGCAGTGTTGTCTGGGTGAGTGGCTGTATGGCTGGGGACCCCCACAGGGTCCTGGGGGCCTGGGTCGGATTCCTGGACAAGCCTAAGGCTGCTCAGGTCCAGTCCCTGGCGCTGTGACCACCGGCCCCAGCCTAGCAGCACCCAGGCCCAGGGAGGAGGGCGAACAATGTCCCCGTTGAGCCCGAGGCTGCGTCCCCGGCAGCCCTGGCTCCCAGCACAGCTGTCTCCTCACAATGCCCGGCCTCTGGGCCACCCCGGGCCCAGCCAAAGGCTCCCTTGTTCCTGGTGCGGTGGAGTTTGCGCCTGGCACCCCTCCCCCCCAGCCAACTGAGCGAGGAGCCAGGACGTGGGCTCCCGGCACTCACTGTGACTCAGGCCGAGCCCTGACCCCTCGGCCTCAGCTTTTTCCTGTTCTCAGGGAGGGCAGTGACCTCTGTGCACAGTCTCTTGGAGGAACCTGAATGGTTTGGTTCTGTTCTGTTTTTAAAATTTGTTTATTTACTTGAAAGGCATAGTTGCAGAGGGAGAGAGAGATCTTCCATCCGCTGGTTCGTTCTCCAAATGGCCACAATGGTCAGATCTGATCCAAGCCGAAGCCAGGAGCCTGAAACTCTATCTAGGTCTCCCACGTGGGTTCAGGGGCCAACACCTGGGCCACCTTCCGCTGCTTTCCCAGGTGCATTAGCAGGGAGCTGGATCAGAAGTGGAGCAGCCGGGACAGGAACTGGCGCCCACGTCGGGTACCAGTGCTACAGGCAGAGGTGGCTTTCACATTAACTGCTGTGCTGCAGTGCTGGCCCCTGCTTTCTAATTTTAATTTTTCACTTGGTTGTTACTTCAGACTGTGGTACAAAAACAGTGCTTCACACAGATCCTGGAGCGTTCAAGTCTCCCCTAGCCGCAGGGCGGTGGTCAGCCCCGGATGCGAGCTCCCACGGCGGCTCGTCCTGTCTCTGGGGGGACCGAGGCTGTACAGTCCCATCCGCTGGGACCCTGCGGCCGCTGAACAACTGTCGAGGAGCCCCTTGCCCGCCCTCCCCGCTCTTCCTCCTGGCCGTGAGCTTTGTGCCGTGCTGTATCCCGGGACCCCTCCCTGGTGAGCGTGGGGGAGAGCAGGCGAGCCGCCTCCCGCAGCCGCCTGCTTTTGGAGTCTGAAAGACCCCTTCATGCTCCCCATGGGAACGCTGTCTCCAAGAGGAGCCGGGCCGGGCCCCCAGCCCTGGGGCAGGCAGCCAGTGGCAGAGCTGGGGATTGAAACCCGGGGCCCACCAGCTCTGGCTGCCCCTCGGGCTCAGCTGCTGGCGGCAACAGCCGGGCAGGTTCCCTCCAAGCGCCTCCTTGTGCTGGGGCTGGGGCAGGCCCTGCTCTGAGCGCCACCTCCCCTCTCCGGAATCCTCACCTGTGGCTTTGTTCCCCCCAAGGAACTGGACGATGGCCTGGACGAAGCGTTCTCAAGGTAACGTCCGCTGGGTCCCTCGCGCTGCCCGGGGGCCCTGGCCTCCGCACGCTGGGGCCCTTTCTTCCTGGGACCCTTTGCTGCGGCTGAGAACTTGAGCCGCTCGAATCCTCCAGCGCCTGGCACCACTGGGGCCCTCCGCTCAGCTGCCTCCTGGGGAAGGGCGGGTAGGCCCAGCTTCTAGAAGGCTCCTGCGGTTGAGCCAAGACGACCCTGGTGGCTGCCCTGCCGCGATGAGCTGAGCTCCCCTCTTCCCACACTTGGTGTCGCCCTTGAACCTTGGCTTTTTTGCAGGCTTTGCGCCCTGCAGGGGATGAGCAGGGGCAGGCGGTGCTTCCTGAGGCCCCGGAAGGAGGCTGGTGACATTTCCCCATTGTCCCGTGCCCCTCCCTGTGGCCATGGCTGCCTGCCACCAAGGAGAGGCCCAGGTAGCTCAGGGTGGAAGCCCAGCGTCCTGGGCAGCTGGTCTCCCTTTTCCCCTTGGGGCCCTCGGCAGTGCCCCCCCCACCCCCCGCCGCCCCCTGCAACCTCTGCCCTCTCATTCAGGACTTTGCTTGGGGTTGGAACCAATGATTGTGGACCTTCTGGGGGGAGCAGAGCTAGGTGCTTTGCCCTTTGCCTTCTCCCTCCCTCCTCTGCCTGCCCCCACCCCCACCCCTAAGCCTGGTGGAAACCCCTTGGTCTAGCTCGGGACCCCTCGATGGAGGCACAGATAACCTTCTCCCGCCTCTCCTGCCTTCCCGGCTGACCACAACCTCCTGGTTTGGAGAAAACCTTGGCGTTTGCTTTTTCCGGATTATTCATGTACCATGTGCCCTTTATTAGCGATCTCAAAACCCAGCAAAGCATTCAGCAGGCGCTGACGCCACCCAGACCGTGGGCTCAGGTCAGCCAACGCTGTGCGTGTGCGGTGCCGGGCACTGGCCCTCTGGCTGCTCAGACTCGGAACCCAGCAGCCCCCAGCCCTTCCAATGACCGACAGCCTCCAGGGCGTGGGCATGGGATCTCCTTTTGCACATGTGTGTCCCTTTTAAGATTCATTTTGTAATTTTAAAAATGTATTTTTTTTTTTATTTGAAAGGCAGAGAGCTCTTTTATCTGGTGGTTCACTGCCCAAATGCCCACAACAGCCGGTGCTGGGCCGGACCAAAGCCATGAGCCTGGAGCTCTACGTGGGTCTCCCATGTGGGTAGCAGGAACCCAACTACCTGAGCCGTCACCTGCTGCCTCCCTCCCACCTGCACATCAGCAGGAAGCTGGATCTGAAGCAGAGTGGCCAGGACTTAAAGGCCAGGCACTCAGATACGGGATGCAGGCATCCCAAGCAGTGACTTAACCCCTGCCCCAAGCGCCCGCCCCTCAGATTTGTGCTTTAAAAAGCACAGTGCTGTATGTGGTCGCGGCCTGCCCTCCCGCGCTCTGCCAGCCCAGGCCTCTGCTCTTTCCCGGGCCTTCCCTGATGCAGTCCTGGCACAGTGAGGGTGCACTGGCCACTCATGGGCGTCGTCGGACCCTCGGGGAGTCTCTCTGTCCCTTGGCATCTGGGACTTAGTCCCGCGGCCCTGTGTCCTGCCGCTTTCCCACGCATGCCCGCTGGTGGCCGGGCCAGCCCACCACCCAGGCTCCTGGCTCACACGGCTCTGCCTTCCAGGCTGGCCCAGTCGCGCACCAACCCTCAGCTGCTGGACACGGGCCTGACAGCGCAGGACATCCACTACGCCCAGTGCCTGTCACCTGTCGACTGGGACAAGCCTGAGAGCAGTGGCCCCGAGCAGGAAGACCTCTTCAGTTTCTGAGGGCCCGAGGCCCTACCACGTGACGGACCAAAGCCGCCCGCGGCAGGGGAGCCGGCTCCGGCCGGCGGCTCCCACAGCCCGCAGATCAAAGCTGCAGCCAGCCAAATCGGGGAAAGAGCAGGTTGTTTTTTTTTTTTTAAACCTGCTCTTTCTCTAAGAACTGAGAGATGCCTTGAATATTTATTCAGTGACTCGCAGCCGCTGCTGGCCTTGGGTGGGGCCCGGACCGGCCTCCTGCACCCTCTGCCTGCCCAGGCCGCTCCGGTCCAGGAGCTCAGGACGGCGACCAAAGCATTTCTCGTCCCCTCTCTCTCTGTGAAGACGCGGATTTCCATGGCGGTTGGATTCCCATCATCCTCTGGGCCCAGGGGGACCACCCCCCGCCCCCACCGCCTCCACTGAGGACTGAGGCCCCCGCTCGCCTCCCTCAGAGACAGAGGGGCAGCCCCTAACCAAAGCCCAGCACTTTAAAGCCCGCACAGCCCCGGGCTGCCTTCTTCCTGCCCAGCTCCAGGAGAAGGGGCTCCTCACTGCCGTGGCCTCTGTGTCTCCGTGTCCCTCCCTGGGGCGGCTGTGAAGCCCAACACCCAGCCTCATGCAGAGACTTCCTGCCCATTTCACAGATGAGGAAGCCGAGGCTGTGTGCGTGGAAGAGGTCGAGGGGAGAGCCAAGAGCCGATGCCAATGCTGCTCTTCCCGCCTCCGCCGCCTTCCCCCCACCCTTAGCTTTGTTGTCCTCCGAGGAACCAAAAAACCCCAGCTATTTTCTGACCAAAACGTGTTTCATAACACACCATCTGGTGCCTTTCCACTCGGAACTGGCAGGAGCCTCGGCGCCCCGCGAGCGGTCTCGCTGCCGACTGCAGCGCTGGGGGGTCTGCTCCTTCAGAGAGCAGGACAAAACCGGCCCCCAGAGGCGCCTGGCTGTGCCCTGTCCCAGCGCCGTGGCCGCGGAACCCCTCCACCGGGCCTCCCCTCTGACCGCAGCCGTGCGTGCGGCGCCTCCCAGCGGCCTGGCTGGTGGGAGCAGGTGCCAGCAGCCCCAGGGAAACACTGTGTCTATTTAGAGGCCGTGAATCAGAACGCACTGGGGGGGGGGGGGGGGCGGGGGCAGGGCCGACTTCTGGGCGCGCCCCAGCTTCTCAGACCCGGCTCCCACGTGGCCTTCCCGGGATCCGGCTCTGCGTGTGCCGGAAGGCAGCAGGGCTCAGTGGGACCCAGGCCGTCCTGGGCCCGAGGGGGCCCCGGGGCCTGAGAAACGCGGCGACCTTCCGCCCCGTGTCTGCGGGCGCATCTCCGGCTTTACTTTGTCATGCTATAAAGGAAGTCCTAACGAGGACAAAACCAAATAATAAATGTTCTTTGGAAGCGCAGGCGGTCTGTGACGGGGACGGGCAGGTGGGAGGGAGGCCAGCATCCCGTGGCTCCCGCCCTTGGCTGACACAGGAGCTGCAGTGACCCAGGCCTGGCGGGGCCGCGAGCTCTGACGCGGCACCTGCTCCGAGGCCCAGCAGGCCCGCCCTGCGGGTGGCTGTGTGTGGGATGAGGTCATTCCTGGCCGCGTCAGCCAGCCGGCTGTCAGCCTCCCTGAAGAAGCCTCGGAAAGCCGAGGTCTGGGGGCCCCGGGCGGACAGTTTCCATCGCGTCCCGGAGTCGATCCATGACGTTTATCCTGCTGACCTTGTGCAGAACATGGACCCCAGCCTCGTGGCCGCAGTGTGATGGGGGAGGCCCGAAGCCCAGCTGTGGTTCTGCCACTGGATCGGTCGCATCTTTCTTTGGGCCTCAGTTTCCTCACCGCGAGCAGGGTGTAGCGGTCTCCCCACTCGGGCGGTTCAAAGGCCTCTCTCCCGGACCAAGCACAGCCGGTGACAGCGGTGTTGGCTGAGCCCTGCCTGTGCGCCGGGCGGTGTCGAGCCTGGATCAGGCGAGCTCCCTGGCCTCCCCAGGGCACCAAGGCTCATGGGGGAAGGCAGACCCGCTTCAAGTCCCAGTCTGGTGCCCTGAGCTGCTGTCCCTGCCTCCCAGGAGCCCTGGCTGGGGTCAGGCTGCTCTCTCCAGCTCCCCTCCGCTGCCGCTGCCACCGGCCAGGGAGTCCCCAGGCTGTGGGGGTCTCCTCGGAACACCCCTCTCCCTCTCCCTTTCCAAGCTGTGTTTAGTGTCCGGAGCCCAGGCAGCGCCCCCTGACGTCAGCCATTGGGACGTCTCTGTGAATCCGGAGCAGGTAACGGAAGGGCTAAGACATTCTTCCCCACTGGTCTGCAAAGGCACCCGGCAAGTGCAGCTTTCCGTTTGAATCTGGGTGTCCGGGTCCCCAGCACAGAGCCACCTTTCCGCTGTGTCATGACCTCCTCACGACCTTCAGCTTCACGGACATGGGACACACGTCGGGGTCTCGCCTCCCACCAGGAGATTCCGTCCCAGTTCGTTCTCTCCGGGGCTTTCCTGTAACAGCCTGGAGAGCGAGCTGGGTGGTGCTGGCCTGGGGCTGCCTCCTCCCCCGCCTCCCTGCAGAGCAGAACCTGGGCCTGTTTGTTTACTAGGCAGTGACCCTCGGCCCCTGGCCTTCAGGTCCAGCATGGTGACACTCGTCCTCGCAGCCGTGCTACGCGCTGGGTGGTCCCTGCCCCGATTTCCAGATGGGGCAGCCGAGGGTCAGGGGAGGAATGAGGTGACCGGAGTCTCACAAGAGCTGGGCCTGGGACTCTGACTCCAGGGTCTGCCCCTCCTTGCAGAGCGAAGGGCATAGCCAGGCCCAGCTGCCCACAGCCCGCTCTGCCTCGCCCATAGCCTCAGCCACACAGCACCCTGGGAACTGCCAGTGCGGGGCTCCGGGCACAGGCAGTGGCCGGAGCAGAACCTCCCCGCCCATCCCAGGTGCTGCCCTTCTGAACAGGTGCCCTGGAGGACCTGGCAGGGCTGTGTCTCATCCCTGCGGGGCCCCGTCCTGCCCCAGGGGCGTTGCTAGCCTGTCGGTGGGTCCCTGAGTGGGCTCCTCGGGAGGGAGGCTTCCCTGGGGCGTGGTGAGGAGGAGGAGAACACGTGTCTGGAACAGTGGCCGCATCTACACATGAGCTAGTTGACGCTGCTGCATAGCGAGCATGCTAGTAGATGTTATTAGCCCATTTTCCAGACAATGACACTGAGGCACAGAGGTTATATGAGTATATGACCTGCCAGCCTCACAGAGCTGGTAGGAGGCAGGTCTGGGATTTGGAGCCCAGGTGTTCACGGTCTCCCAGGGGTGGCCCTGCCTCTCTGCAGGTCACTGGAACATTTGGAGGACATGATGACCTGACTGATGGAGGAACTTCCAAGCGCAGCAGAGAAACCTTAGCCAGGTGACCAGCTCAGGATTGCTAGGCCAGGTCGGTGCCTTCGCTTCCAACCAGGTCAGCTGTGGGCTGTGGCCTAAGTCCTGTTGCCAGGCAACAGCTGACCGTGCCTGCTGAGTCCCAGCGTGGCCTGTCTCCAGGTGGCTGAGACATAGCTGCCCTGTGACAGCCCTGTGCACGGGGTGGGTTTGCACCATCCCAGCAGGGCGCTTAGAATGGCAGCTGGGGGCACCAGGGCAGGCCCCTGGGAGGGCAGAATGTTCCAGATGGGCCTTGGAGGAAGGCTGGGAAGGTTGGAGACTTCCTTCGCTAGCCTGGGAGATCTGTGTGGCCAGGGCCTGTGTCGGGTTCACCCCATGGCCTCCATGCCCAGCATAGCACCTGGCACAGCCTAGCAATCTGTCAGTCACTTGGCATCAAAAAGGAGGAGAACCAGGGCTGGCGCTGTGGTGTAGCGGGCAAAGCTGCTGCCTGCAGTGCCAGCATCCCACAATGGCACCGGTTTGAGTCCTGGCTCCTCCACTTCCAATCCAGCTCCCTGCTAATGCACCTGGGAAAGCAGCAGAGGATGGCTCAAATACTTGGGCTCCTGCACCCATGTGGGAGACCTGGAAGAAGCTCCTGGCTCCTGGCTTCGGATCATCCCAGCTCCAGTTGTTGTGGCCATTTGGGGAGTAAACAGCAGATAGAAGACCTCTCTCTCTCGGCCTCCCTATAACACTGCCTTTCAAATAAATAAATAAATCTTAAAAAAAAAAAAAAAAAGGGCAGGGGAGGGGAGAGAAGGTGCCCAGACAAAGGGCAGCCTCAGTCCACTTTCCTTGTCACACGTCGCCCTGGGCCTGGGTGCTGCGGGTCTCAAGCCAGCAGCCTCAGCGCCCACCCAGTCCTGATTTAGAAAAAAATGTGAGGTCCACACCTCCGCCCTGAGCGAGGGTCTTGGATCCTGCTTCTTCAGAGAGAGCCCTGTGTGCCAGTGCTGGAAGAGCCCCCAGGGCCTCGCAGCTCTGCTCTCAGGACCGCCCTCGATGGCACCCTGTCTAGTGCTCCATCGGCCATGGGAGGGAGAAGCCCCTCTGTGCTCTCTGGGAGAGGCTACAGAGCTCACCAGGAAGTGGGAGCGACTGTGATGAGAAGAGGCAGGCAGAGGGCCCTGGTGACCCCCCCCCCCCCCCACGCACAGTGAGCTCCCGGTCATCATCCGCCTCTCCAGGGCCCATCTGTCAAATGCAGCCCTGGAAGAGCCGGGCTCCTGATCGCAAGCGCTGGCCCTGGAGCCGCAGGCAGCACTGCCTTTGAGTCCCAGGTTTGTCCCCCGGCTGTGTAAATGGCTTAATGGTCTGCACCTCAGTCATTCCACCTGAGAAATGGGGTGATGACAGCCAGAACAGGGATGCAATGAGGTGCCCCGGAGTTGCTAGATGAGTTAAGGCTTGTAAGGAGCTGGGAGCAGCTCCCGCTGTGGCCATCTGCTGTTGGCTGCTGGGGGGCTGGGGCGGGGAGGGGCAGGATGTACTCCCACCCAGGAGTAAGGCCCACCCAGGGCGGCAGACTCAGGGGGAGACGGGCTTGTACCCCGATGCCACCCAGGTGCACGCCCTGCCCCTGCCCACCAGGAAACTGTGCCCTGGGGGGAACTAGAAAGGCGATCGCCTGGGCTGCAAACATTCCCCTCCCTGCTTCAGAGAGGAGGGCTTTAGTAGAGAGGGGTGGCTCATCCACCTGCTGGGAGGGGCGGGGTGTGAGGAGGTCCCTGTGCAGGCCGGGGGAACAAGGTCAACACTGCCCCCGCTGACCCTGGCGGTCACAGACCATGGGAAGGGGCCGCTGGACAACCAAACCCCGCTCCGAGACACAGGAGGCGGGTGGTGGTGGGGGGTGGGGAATGGCTGGACAGCTCAGGGCTGGGGTGAAAGAAACTGCAGGCAGTGAGCTCAGGGACCTTGCTGCTGTCCCAAGATGTGGCCAGTGCTGGGCTCGGCATTCTCGGGGCCAGCCAGGCGAGAGCCAAGGCTCGCGTGAAGTGACCAGAGAGAGAAGTGACAGGGCCAGGACTGGGGCACAGATCTGCGTGCACGTGAGAGCTGGGTGGGGGAAAGAGCTGTGGGGTAACACCGTGGACTACACGAGCCCCCATCCTCCCCCGGTGCTCAGGACACGGCAGCTCCCAAGACGATGGGAGCCTGGCTCGCTCACAAAGTGGACGTTCCTGGGTGCAGGAACAGACCCTGCCCCCGGCGTGTGGCATCAGCACTGAAGGAGCAGTGGGGAGGGGGCAGAGGCCACAGCTGCTCCACGCGGGGGCTCAGGGGTCCCTGCCCAGAGACCTTCAGGAGGCAGGGCGGGAGTTGGGAGGCTGGCCAAGAGCCCGGAACACAGGAAACAGCAGGTGCAGAAGCCCTCAGTGGGCCTCATGGGAAGCAGGAGGGGGGCAGGCGTGGTTGCAGAGGAGGAAGGGCCCTGAGCAAGGGGCCAGAGGGCAGGCCCAGGCGAGGGGCTCCAGGCCAGAGCCGGGCTCTCCACCTGCTCCGGAGAGAGTCTCACGGCTCTGTGCAGGGGGCTTGAAGACCCGAAGGCTGCACATGAGGGTGGACTCAGGTTCTCTGAGGCTCTGGCTTCTTCCAGGGTCAGACCCAAGAGGAAACAGGCTCTGGACCTGACAAGGGGCAGGCAGAGCCTAGGGTGGGGACGACCCTTCCTCCCGGTGATGGTGACAGATGCCCCTGTGAGAGGCAGGCCCAGCCCTGCCCCGAGGCCTGCAGCAGCGCCCCCAGCAGCAAGGCCCGAGAAAAATCAAGAGAGCGCACGTCTTGAATGCCACTTTATCGCAGTGAGCTTGTCGATCCAGCTCATTACATTTAATTAGAATTATTTAATTAGAATCTTAATAAAAGAGTAAGGCAGGAAGGAGGCTGGGAAGCCGAGGAGAGGAGAGCTATGCCGCGCTGAGCATGGGAAGGAGGCCCGGCCTGGGAGCTGGGCTGGCGGAGGGGCGGCCAGGACGCCTGCAGGAAGGTGGGGCCTCTGCCTGTGGCTGC